ACTACCTACCTACCTCTCTCTCTCTCTCTCTCTCTCTCTCTCTCTCTCTCTCTCTCTCTCTCTCTCTGTTTCCATCACGCGCAATTTCAATCGGATCGATCATATTTGTATCATATTTATCGAGGAACGATCGAGTCGATGCTCGTGGAATCTCGAAGATTTGGTCGAAGATTTAGCCAGCCATTCGATTCGAACTTGTCCATCGAGGTATCGAGTTCGAATGGCGGCGAAACAAGGGTGGAAAGGGTGGATCGGCACGACACGGGAGTTTCGAAAATTCATCGAAACGATCGACTTTGTACACGCGGCTACTTACGTACTTACGCGGTGGCTTAAATTCTCTCGCGAAACGTTTATAAATTCGGTCGATCTCTGCGATATTTTTAATGGTGGCGCGCGTTACCCTTTCGAGAGCGCCACCGCGTTCCATTCGATCAGATTCAATATTCGATCCCTTTAATCCAATTGGCCGACAGTGGTGGAAAATAAATAGGCTGTAACAAAAACGTTCTGTCCGCTTTGCGAGGGGGAGAAGCCGATTTCTAGACTTACCGAGAACGCTTCGAGCGTAAAATAAAGGGATGGATGGGGACAGAAACGACTTAAATTTAATTCGTGATATACAGGCGCTTCGTCTTGGTACGAACGGAGCGGTAAGATGGTAAAATTTAATTCTATGTATATATAGGCAAAAGTGAGTTGAATTTTATCCTGCAGTATTTATTTTTTACGTCTCTACAGTGATTAGTTGTATCACACAGTATCGTAACAGGAAAGTAATTACAGTAGAGGAAGTAATCAGAGTTTCTTTAAAGATGATTTTAGGATATAAAGTGAAGGAAGAACGATAATTTTTTTTTTTTTATTACACTTAACTTTGCTCTTAAAACAAAATTATCTACAAAAAAAAAGAAAGTTTTGATCTAGCCATCTTATCTAATTCCATGAATTTTAAAGAGCCGAAAGATCGAGTAAGATCTTTCCCTCGAATTTTCCTTACGAACGACGAGCTTCCAAATTATGAATTTCGCCAATTTGCCATTTGGTATGCAATGAATGAAAAAAATGTGCGAGAATTCAGAATCTCATTCCTTCACGGGAGTCGCGTGAATAATTTCTAATAGCGAAAAACCGTTGTCAGTCTTTTTTGTTTAGAAAAGCAAGAAGCACACTCGTGCTCTTCTTTATTAACGCGGGAACAGAGTCGTGGACCCAGTCATTCCCTAAACTCTCTCTTTGAAAAGGAGCGGGATCGCTTTGCGGAATTCCGCGTGTACTTTGAAAAATTAAAGGGTCGGAAGCTTCGGTCGTAATTTTCGCATCGCCGCGTTCCTCGCATTAAACGTCGAGTCTGCTCGCTATCCCGAGCACTTTGCCACGTTTACAATGGCCACATGCTCGGCCACAGTCACACCTTCCCGATTGTTTGGCAAAAATGATGGAGAGAAGAGGAGGGGAGGCCACGAAGTAACCCCTTTCTTTATGCTCTCGCTTTCTACTATAATTTTCTCTCTCTCTCTCTCTTTCTCGCTTTCATCCGTTCCACTTGGATGTCTTCTTCGAAAAGAAAAGACGAATGGAAACGGTGGTAAGAAGCGATGCTCGAAGAAACCTGAGAAAGAAAATATGGAAGAGAAGAGGAACGAAGGATTTTTAATTTTCTTTTTGAGTTTTATTCTTTCGATTCGGTATTCATTATTTTCCCGCGAAGAAAAAGCAAGCGATACAAGGATGAAAACGTGAAAATTTAATCTTCTTCGTCGTCTGTCCCTTCCTTCTTTCTCAAAAGAAGGAAAAAAGAATAAGGAAGAACACGTAAGAATTGTTTTTTTATCCTCGAATCTTCTTTCTCGCGAAGAAGTCATAAAGCGGACTGTACTCGAAGGAATCTAAGGATGAAAATATCGGATAAAAGTGAAAGAGGACGTTCGAGAACGCTCTTATTTCGTCGTTCATCTCTTCGATATTGTTTCTTCTTTCTCGCGAAGGGAAAGCGAATAACGCACGAGACGATACTCAAAGCAGTCTAAAAATGAAAATATCGCTTGAAAAGGATACGCGAAGAATTTCCTCTATTTTTTTCTCTTCTTTTTTTTTTTTTATCCTTTCATCTTCTCTTTCTCGCGAACGAGGGGCAAATAATAAGGAAGACGATACTCGAACGAGTCTAAAGAGGAAAATATTGCGTAAAAGGAAAAGAAAACGAGCGTAGGATTTCTTATTTTTTTTTTTTTTTCCCTCCATCCTTTCAATTCGGATCTCTCTTTTTTCTTCCACGTAGAAAGGACAAATAATAAGGAAGACGATACTCGAAGCGGCCTAGGGGTGAAAATATCGGATAAAAGTGGAAAAGGACGTTGGAATGCTCTCGATTTTCTTCGTCGTTTCCATCCCTCTTTCTTTCTTTTTTTCTGCTCGCGAAGAGAAAGCGGACAAAGGAGATAACGCTGTGGAAGAAGCCTAAGGGCGAAAATGTCAAGCGAAACGGGGAAGAGGACGAGGATAAAAAGCTAGAGAGACAGAGGTACGTGGCTTATCTTAAACTTGGCACACTGAAACTGTGTTTCCGCCGCTTCTATCGTGCTACTAGACAAAGTCGAGTGGCAACGGCGTAGGCATTATCATCTTTTTCCTTTCTTGTCTGGCCAGACGTACCCCGATTGGAACTCGTCGTCGTTGAATACGAGTCTAATTGGAACTGAGAGCCGTGATCCCGTCTTCTAATAGTACTGGTAACGAGCATTCTTCCCTATTCTCCGCTTTCCAGTTGATCGATACGCGCCCAACCGACCCCCTTGACCGCCGAGCCACCGACGAGCAAACGTTATATGGATTTATTCGGCATTGTCGAAAAGTACGGAAGATCATCGCGTCCATCCCTTTTTGTTAAAATCGTGGAGACGAATTAGAGAATTCACTTGCGTTCATTAGCTAGTTGTCAAAGTGGATTGGGATCGATATGATGGAATACAAAGCGAATTTCGAGTATCCCATCGCGTTAAATTTTTCGTTTAATTCGCCTCCTTAATTGCCGTGGCGATAAATGTTCCGCCGATCGTCGAAATGGAGAAATACACGCTCGTAATATTCCGTCGAATCGTAATTGTAGAGCTTGTCGACCTCGAAATGATCGTTCGAAAGACGAGGATTACTGCGTGGGGACGTAAGACCGATTATTTTCAATCTCTCCCGCTGACTTCGTGTCAAAGTGACAAAAGGTCGGAGGAGAATAACCCAGAAAAGGCAAGAGAGCGAGAGTTCTTCGTTTGTAAATGTTTCATCGATCGAGCGACCGACCGAGCATTGTCAAAATGGAATGGTACATCTGCGTAATTTTCTCTCGAATAATTATACTAAATTGCACGTTGAACAAGCGTTAATACGCGGAACGTATTCAGGCGAATTAATACTTCCAATTTCGATTCTCGCTCTTATCGAAGTGACGAAGAATCAGAGGAGAAAATAGCCTAGAGAGGAGGGGGCAAGGATTCGATCGATCGATCGATCATTGCCAAAAAAGGAATATATATTTTGAATAACTCTCTAATAATTATAAATTGCAAACTCTCGCTTAGAGAGAATTAATGTATGAAACGCCATTAACATTTCCAATTTCGATTATCACGAAAAATAGTCTAAAGATTCGGTCGATCGACCAATCAAAAATAAAGAAGTATATTTGAATAATTTAATCTAACAATTGTAAATTGCAAAGTTTCGTTTAAAGAGACTTAATATGAAGTGCAAGGCCGACTAATATCTTCAATTTCTAATAATTATAAATTGCAAACTCTCGCTTAGAAAGAATTAATATATGAAGCTAACTAATATTCTTAATTTCGATTATCGTGTTCGATTCTCATTCTTCTCTATCAAAGAATCAGAGAAGAAAATTGCGATTTAAAGACAGGGCAAAGATTCGAAATAAAAAATATTTAACATTTGATTAATTCCTAACAATTGTAAATTGCAAAGTTTCGTTTAAAGAGACTTAACATGAAGTGCAAGGCCGACTAATATTACTCAATTCTAATAATTATAAATTGCAAACTCTCGCTTAGAAAGAATTAATATATGAAGCGGTAAACTAACTAATATTTTTATTTATTATTAACTAATATTTCGATTGTTACGTTCGATTCTCATTCTTCTCTGTCAAAGTTGACGACAGAGGGGCAAA